ATATAAATTTTATAGATAACTGCCTTTGCTACTTACAATAATCACATTTAAAGTATTTTTCAGGCAGTTTGTTCAATTGGCATAAGATTATACTGTGGCATTTTTAACGTGGAATGTATATGGAAAGCTGAAAGATCAGCTTAAGGGCCATAGGAAGTTCTGACAACTCGAGTTGATTGAAAAGTATATGAGAAACCATTTTCTTATGTTAAGAATGATATATTTGAGTTCCCACTGATGACAGAGTGGTCATTAGTGTGCCACCATCTCTGGAAATATGGAAGGAAATAAGCAGAGAATTCAAGTAAACAGAATTTATGCCACACTGAAGTGCCTCTGAGTTGTCAAAACAAGGTACTGAGGGAGATTGTGACATCATCTTCCTTAGAGATCTAGAAGAGTTGTTGTGGGCGGCCGTCCCGTCGAACCCCGACTCATGGCAACCCTATGCACAACAGGACAGGACAGTTGTGATCCATAGGATTTTCATTGGCTGATTTTTTGGAAGACAGATCATCAGGCCTTTCTTCCTAGTCCATCCTAGTCTGGAAGTTCCACTTACACCTGTTTAGTGCCACAGCAACACACAAACCTCCACTGGGAGACAAGTGGGGGCTGCGCTTGAGGTGCTCTGGCTGGAATCTAACCCAGGTCTTCCGCGTAGAAGGCAAGAAGTCTACCACTGAGCCCCCATCCCCCTGAAGAGCAGCCTAGATGGCCTGTTGGTGTGAGGTTGTGTGGACTGGCTTACTGTGGATCATGAGGAGGTGGGACTAGACCAGCCTTTCTTCCTTCCAGTGCAACATTTATTTTCTTGTCAAATATTATGAAGTCAGAATTAAAGTTTTAAACTCATTTTAATATAAGTTTTTCAAAACTAATAGATAGTTCTATCCTTCTCCAGAAATGGCCCAATCTGCAGGATTAGAATTTTAAGTGATTCTCTCAACCTGAGTAAGAATGAATGTTTTCTCCACTCTGAATTTTGGGGTGTACGTGTACGTGTGTGTGAGTCTGTGTTTTATCAGCCTTAAAGGAAAGCATGTATGTGCCTTATGAAATCCTTCTTTTGCATATATTTAAATGTTTAAATTGTTATAGCCAATGCTCTTATTAAAATGGAGATTCACAAAAGAACAGATAAATAAATACATCATGTTTGACAGCCGCTGAAGTTAGCAGTGGGTATTTGGCAAAGCAGGAGCTCTGGTGGTGCAGTAGTTAAGAGCTCAGCTGCTAACCAAAAGGTCGGCAGTTTGAATCCACCAGCCGCTCCTTAGAAACACTATGGAGCAGTTCTGTTCTGCCCTGTAGGGTCACTATGAATCAGAATCGACTTGATGCTACCGGGTTTGGGTTTGGTATATGACAAAGCAGGTAGCTAAGAGAGAATTAACAGAAATAACTTTGGGAAATGGATATAACAAACTGTATTTGTATGCAAGACTCTTAACGCAACAGTCAGAAATGGATGCAAATTCGTTGATGCTATAGTTTATTTATTAAAGTTTTGATTATGTTGATGTCGCGTGATCATATCCCAGCAGACACATTATTTCTTGCACAAATGAATGCCTCACAATCTATTCATTTGGGTGATTTGTTTGGATTGATGCATATTCACATCTTCAGTATTTGTGAATGGTTTTGTCAATAGATGTTCTGGAAAGAATTAAGTACTATGATTCATCAGCAGATGTTTATGTCTAATCTTAATTTTCTCCATAGTCTTGCATTTATAAGACCTATTAACAGAAGTTTGACTTAGATAAAATACTAACAGCATTATCTACAATATTGACATAAACATCTAGAAAGTAACTGGCTCACCTTAATGTGGAGAAACATTGGTTAACACCCCCTTTCCCATTTATATAATAATGTCTCTTAGAGCAAAACCCAAAGGTTTTTGGCGAGGGGCAAACATAGGGAGCTACCGTTTTTCTGCATTTATCATGTGAGTCTTCTGTCGTGTCCATATAGAGCCTTCTGACCGCATTTATTCCTGGCTGTATCTGACTTTATAGTCCTTGTTGTTAATAGTTGCTGTTGTAGCGGCTCTGACTCATGGTGACCGTATGTGCAGTAGTCCCCATTGATCCGCAGGGATACGCTGTAAGGCACACCGTGGATGCCTGAAACTGTGGATAGTACCGAACCCTCTGTACACTATGTCCTATACATACGTATCTGTGATGAAGTTGAATTTATAAATTCGGCACAGTAAGAGATTACCAACAGTAACTAATAATAAAATAGAACAGTTATAACAATATACTGTAATAAAAGTTATTTGAATGATGGAGAGGGACGGCACAAGATTTCATCACACTACTCATTTAACATTTTCGGACCGCAGAGGTAAATGAAACCGAGAAGAACAACCACTGATAGGGAGGGACTACCGTACAACAGAACAAAACGTTGCCTAGTCCTGCGCCATCTTCGTGATCGTTGGTATACAGGAGTCCCTTGCTGTGGCTATTGT